ACATACATACATACATACACACACACATACATACATACATACATACATATACACATATACATACAATCATATTTTTAATATATATATATTTATGTACAGTATATGTGTGTATATATATATATATTCTTAAATACTCAAAAATATAACCTGAAAATGGTCTCAATGTAACAGTTTGTAAAAAATAAAGAGATTGAATAAAAATATGTAACATCTTTAGCTTTAATAAGCAGCTAAACAACACTAATCAGATTTTTAAAAGTACATTTGGCTCTAATATCTCCTTTTTGATACTTGTACTTTTGTTTGTTTGTTTGTTTTTTTGAGACAAGGTCTCACTATACATTTGAGACTGACATGGAACTCTCTATGTAGCCCAGACTGGTCTTGAACTCACGGCGATACTCCTGCCTCAGCCTCCCGAGTGCTGGGATTACAGGCATGTGCCACCACGCCCGGCTTGATACTTGTATTTTTATGACCATTTTAGAACCACTTTCTTCACAGCTGTAGATTTTTGTAAATATGAAGAGTTTTGAATATATTCTCATTTTCTATTAGTTGATTTGAGTATTTCTGATGAGCTGTATAGGCAGCCAGAGTTTCAATGACAAGTTAGAGGAAAGACATATGTGGCCAGGTGCATAAAGACTCATAACAGATTTCTACAGAGTTTCTCATTATAGCCTACCTTTTCTTAGACCAAGGAACTGCTTGATTTTTATCTGCATATTTTAAAAATTATGCATTGCATCTGGTTAGTTCTTTCAGTGAACCTGCAGTAGGAAATAGGAACCTCACTAGATATAACCAGAAGAATGGAATTTAGTATAGGGAATTAATTACAAAAATGTTAGAAAATGTAGAGACAAAAGAGAAGGGAGCATTCAATAATTGAGAAGCTACAACTAGCCAGGATAGAGACTGTGATCACATTTACTCTTGAGCTACTGAAAATGCTCCTTCTCCCACTGAACAGGATCTACCCCTACTCAGTGATACTGGTAGAATTTAGCAGTAACACCATTGTCCAGAGAATCTTGAAGATTTAGCTTTTAGGACCAGTACAGTGCTAAGAAAAAAAATTCATTTTAGATTGTTAAGAGCAGTAGTCATATCATTTTTATCTTTGTAATATCAGTGACTAATTCAACGTCTGTCATGGTGGCTCTCATAGAACTATTTGTTAAATATTGAACTTGTTCACGATATATATATATATATATATATATATGAATAAAGTTTACTTTTTTATCTTGCATACACAAAAAGTTGGATTTTCAGTATTTCAGAGTACAATTTTATTTATGGAAGGATGAGTGTTACTCAGCTTCAATCATAGCACCTGGCACATTTTAAATAAATACTTGCTAATTAATAACTGTTTAATGTGTCATATTTACTCTTAAATATGTCACTGGAATTAACTTATTGGTAGTTTTGGTGAATTTTATTTATATTTTTAAATTCTACTTGAAGTTCATGATATTCCTTCTCTCTATTACAGCATCAAACACTTGGCTTGTTCCAGAAACTAAAGGAGCTATTGTACAAGGTGGATATGGCCATACAAGTGTGTATGATGAAATAACAAAGTCCATTTATGTTCATGGAGGGTATAAAGCATTACCAGGCAATAAATATGGATTGGTAGATGATCTTTATAAGTATGAAGTTAACACAAAGACTTGGTGAGTAACTTGATTAAAAGTATGATAAGAAAACTTGACAGATATATTTTGTATTTGTATAGTGATCATATTTACTAAATATATTCATGGAAAAATTCTTGGAAGTTTTTCTTTCTTCAAGTAATGATATGCTGTCATGTAGCAGTGGTACAAAATAAATTTTTTTCTCTTTAGTCATCATTAATATAATTAATAATATTATTTATAATTAATAATATTAATTTATAATTAATATAAATGACTTATTTTGAAATAGTTTCTTTTTTGGTAGAAATTCTTACTTTGTATGCATTACTTATACTAATAAGGACTGATAGAATGTTAGTTTTGATTGACAGTTTTTTTTTTAACCAGTAAAACTTTCAGCTTTTATACCATCTGTCCTGGGATTTATTCTTATTTACACTCATATTTAATTGATAAATATAAATTTAAAAAGGATTTCTTCAGTTTCATTATTTAACTTCCTATGAAGTGCAAACCTTGTGGTATTTGGGCCAATTTTCTTTTTCTGTTATTGTAAACAGGGCCACATTGCATTGGTCTTCTCATGCACATATACAGTGATACTCTAGGATATATACTTAAAAGTGAAATTACTATGTCTGTATTGTGTTTCAGATCACTGCAGTAATATACATTTCAACAGCAGGGTATGAGAATCTTTGTGTGACCATATGGTCATTAATACATGGTAACTAAGGATTTCTACTATTGTCAGTATGATAGGTGGGAATGATATCTTACTGATATTTTAATATGCATTTCCCAAATTATTGTTGTAGATAAGCATTTTTTTAATGGGTGCATTTACCATTGTTTGTTTTTTAGTGAATTGCCTGTTTTTACTCATTATATTCTTTTTATGTTTTTAAACATTATTTATTGATTGATTTCAAAATATTGTTTCATTTATTGATTTTTTAGGTATATAATTTTTTAAATAGAATTCTTATTGTACTCACCTTTGTAAAATCTGGTAAATGACTCTTTTTGCTTTAAGACAGTATACATTCTTTTAAACAGCATGAAATTACTCGATGTATTTAGAGAAGAATAGTATTCAACTAAATAGTGGATTTACTGTCTCCACTTACTTTCAAACATATATCATAATTTTTACATTCTTTGCGGGGAAGGATACAATTATAAGACTTCTATTTTGTGAAAGAAAGGGATGAGAATTTTTTCAAGCATGACAAATGACATCAATCCACAGATTGATGAAGTTCCATGAACACCAAGTGAAATAAATAGAAACAAGCTCATGCTTAGAGACATTATGGTAAAACTGCTGAAAATACGAAGAGGAAAATTTAAAATCAGCTAGAGGGGAAAAAGTCATCTTCTGTCTTTAGATTCTCAAGTGATTTCTTAACTGAAAAAATTGACTCCAGAAGAAATGTTTTCATATGGTTGAAATGAAATAATATAAAATAAAATGTAGAAAATAAAAATAAAATAAAAAGTAGCCTAAAATTCTATTAAATTGTTGTTGTTGTTGGTTTTTTTTTTTTGGTAGTAGGGATTGAACTCGGGTCCTTGTGCTTGAGAGGCAGGCAGCAGAACCACTGAGCTCAGTCCCCGGCCAATATCCTAAAATTCTATATCAAATGATATATCCTTTAAAAATACAATATTTTCAGGCAAACAGGAACTGAAATAATTTGATCAATGCAGATATGTAATAAAGGCAGTACTAAATGGAACAAATGCTACTAGGGCAGAAAAAAATAATTTCTGATACTGAGTGGAATGTACAAATATGAGAGAGGATAAATCCAATCAATTATCACATAAAATATAATAGAAACAGAGGCTTGATTATTCACATAATTTAAAAGTATGAAAATAATGGTACATAAGCCAGAAAGAAAGATAAATAGGTGTTAAAATACTGAAGTCCTTGTATTATTTGGGGATTGACAAATTAATATTATTCATTAATTATTAAGGATTTATGTTGAATTCACTACATATCAACCAAACATTATACATCTAACAATAATAGGTGGGAAAATGAGAATAGTAAATCATACTAATAGATTTGGAAAAAACAAAGCAAAGCAAAGAAAGGTAACAATATGGGTATGGCAGGAATAGTAAAATGATGTATAATTTCAAATGGGTCAACAATATTTACACTAAATGTAAGGAAATATTCCATTTTTATGAAATGTAAGATAAAAATATTTAAATTAAAAGCTAAGGGGCCGGGGATTTAGCTCAGCGGTTCAGTGGCCTGCCTTGCAAGCACAAGGACCTGAGTTCAATCCTCGGTACTGGGGGGTGGGAAGAGCTAAGGATTTTTGTCCTGCTTGTAGAAAACAAATCTAGCTATATATTTCATAGAAAAGATATACCTTACAAAAAAATTTATTCAAGTTGAAAGTACAAAGATGGAAGATTTATTGAAAGTTAATGCCTATATCAATATTAGACAAATAAGACTTTAAGCCAAGTGTCTCCCTGAACAATATATGTAACAGTTCTGAATTTATATAGACCTTATAGTACTGTATAAAAATTAATAAAATAAGGGACCAAGGATGTAGCTCATTGACACTGTGCCTGCCTGGTAAGTGCAAGGTCCTGAGTTTAATCCCCAATTCTGGAAAAATAAAAAAGTTAACAAAGGGAGAACTGAGAGAATTAAGCAGGACAAATCAGAGTAGGGCATTTTAAATCTAGTTCTCTTTGTTATTAATAGCACTAGAAGAACCACAACTAGCAGGGATATAAAAGATTTGAACAGTTAACAGTTTTTTCTTGTTTGACATGAGAGCACAAAACCTTGTAATTGCAGCTTAGAACATTGCTTTCAAGCACACCTGGAACTTTTCCAAAATTAACTATATGCTAGTTTTAATTTGCATCTTAACAAATTTAAAAGGATTGAAAACCTACAAAGTAATTGGTCACAATGAAAAGAAAAAAAAATTTCTGGTGATTATATAAAAGTAATAAATACAAACTTAATATTGCAATTAATAAATTTCTTTTAACTAGTTAGTGAAAAAATATACTGAAAATTATAAAGATATTTTGTACTGAATGATGACACATCAAAATGTGTATGATTTAGGTAAGAGGAAGAATTATACCCTTGAATATATTTATTAGAAATATTTTTAGAAGCCTGAAAATCAATAGTCTAATCTTTTTTGTTTTTCTTTTTATTAGTGTATGTTTGCAGTTCATAATAATTATATTCATAGCAGGGAGTTGGCACATGTACATAATGCATCTTAAATCTTTTTTTCATTCCTTTTCCCCTCTTCTCTTTTTTGGTCCCCTTCCCTTTGAAAATAGGGCTATCTCTCTGTTTCCTCTTACCTTTTATTTTGCTCTTTAATTTATTTACATTTTGAGATTTTTCAAATAAGATCAATAATGTGATATTTAAACTGTCTTATTTCACTTAATATTGGTTTGTTAAGGTGCATTGATGTTTTTACAAATAACTCAAGTTTATCCTTCTTTGTGTCATAGTACTCCATTGTATTATAGTATTTTCTTTATGTATTCTTCAGTTGATGGATATATAGGGTACTTACAAGATTTAGCTATTAGGATTTTTGTGCACCTACGAATCTGGATATGCATATACAGTAGACCTTTGACTTGCAAACTCATTTGGTTACCAAGGATGGTTTAAAACTAAGTCAATACACCTGAAATCTGGATGTTTATCTGGGTAAAAAATATAAATAACAAGAGGCAGATGAATCTTCCATTAACCTGATTAACCCAAGTTGTTCCTATGTCAGTCAGGTTGTGACTTGAGGGTCCACTGAATTACTTTAATATGATGTGTTTAACTCTTTGGGAAAGATACCTAGAAGTAGAATAGCTGGGTCAAGTGGAATTTCTAGTTTTAATTTTTTGAGGACTCTCCATGCTGATTTCCATAATGGTTAAACCAGTTTACATTCCTTCCAACAATGTAGAAACCAACCCCCCCAACAACAATGCAATTCTAAAGGGCAAAGCAAATAAATATATGAAGAAAAAGATATAAGAACACAAATTAATGAAATAGGATGCTAACATATGGTAGAGTTCATCCATAAAGTTATCAAAAATAGACGAAAATAATGGTAAGTAAAGACTAAGAAAATGGAGATAAAATCATACTCATGTCAGGATTGAAAAAGGATGTCACAAATCATACAGACATAAGCTAATAAGCACAAATAATAAGCAACTGTTAAAAAAACATTTTTAAAAAATACATGAAATCATTGAAAATTTCTAGAAAAATAAGTCTGCAGAAATATGTGGAAAAACAGGAAACTGAAATGATCCTATGTCACTGACATAGATCCGTAATTGAAATTCTCTTGCCTCAAAACAAAAAGATAAGTAAAAACATATACAAACAAATAAAAATAAAACAAAATAAAAACACTCTTTAGGTCCAGATAGCTTCATGGGTAAATTTTTCTTTGTAATTGAAACATTAGAAGAAAAAAGTAAAATTCTTACAATCTTTTTGAAAGATTCAGTAAAATGTTTTGCAAAATTTAGCATTTTCATGATAAAAAGTTTTGGTGAGTTAGAATATGTGCAAGTTACATAGTAAAAGATAGAAAAGAACAGAAAAACTTTACTGCAATAATTACAGTGAAATGGTGAAAGCTTTCCATTTAAGTTTGAGAGTAATATATCACGAATTTTATTCAACATTGTTTCAGAAATTCCACCCAATATAAGAAGGAATTTAATAAAATATGTGATATAATTATATATAGGTAATAGGTTTCTACATAAAACATCAATATAAAGTCAATAAAATATAATTGTATTACTAGGAGCCATATACAAAATAATTTAAAAGCAGTATAAGTTATGTTGCCCTCAGAACATCAACAACCTAAAGGAAATCTGATGATATATGTGAAGGATCTTCACAGAGAAAATTATAAGCTCTCATTTTGAGAAATTGAAGACCTACGTAAATGGACATATGATAACTGCTTGAAAGACATTATTGTTCA